TTATTGGCTCTTGGGTGGTGGTTGGTTTTGGTGTAGGTATGGAGGCTTTTGGATGGTCTCTTATTCCTTAATGTTCCGTGTAGTCAGGAGTTTTCTGGTTTTCTCAGGTTTGGGGCTTAAGTCTCCTGCTTCTGGATTTCACTTTTATTCTTCCAATAGTCTGAAGACTTCTCCAACTATACAGCACTGATAATAAAACTTCTAGGTTAATGGTGAAAAGATTCTCCACCGTGAGAGACAACCAGAGAGGTTCACAGAGTTACATGAAGAATAGGAGAGGGAGGAAGGAGATAGAGGTGAGCAGGAGGAGAAGAAGGGGACTCAAGAGGAGAGAGACAGATCTACACAGTTATCTGTTCCCAAAGTGTTCTCCGCAGCCCAGGCACCCACAAAGATTCACAGAGTTGGATTGGGAAGAGAAGGGGAAAGGAGGAAATAGAGGTGTTCTGAGGTAGAAAACAGAGTCAAAAGTGGGAGAGTAATCACCACACTCCTGAATGGAAATGGGAACTGAATATTGGATTCTTAAATGTCCAAAATTTATATCACATACTGAAAAACAAAGATTAAAAATCTAGTGTAGAGGTTAGACTCTTTGAAATACAATATTTAAAAACAAAAACACAAAAATTTAGAAATGTCTATGAAGTTTGGTTTAAAAATAGTGTTTCTCTCTCTCTCTTTTTTTTTGGCAAGGTTATAGTGAAATGAAAATGAAAATTAAGGAATAATAGAGGAGTATTAGAGGACTTTAAAAGGACATAGGAGAGAAAAACAAGAAAAAGAAAAAAAAAGAAAAAAATTTTTTCCCCTAATTAAAAAAATCATAAAAATATATGAAAATGAAAGTTGAGGAGTAATGGGGGAGTAATAGGGAATTTTAAAAGAAAATAAAAGGGAAAAAATAAAAAATAAAAAAAGGAAAGAAAAAAAATTTTTTTAATTAGAAAAAATATATACATATATATCTAGGAATTTCTCTGGAGTTGTCGCAGTCAGTGTAGGTTCAGTTCAATTTCAGATAGTTCCTCTTTCCAGCTTAAACTTCTCGATACCTGTAGGCCCCTTCTGGTGTAGTTGGTGTTACCTTCAGGGATTTTAATCTGTTGCACCGGTCCTTTCTGAAGCGGTTCCCTTTGTTTATTTGGCTTCTGTTTGCTGTCTCTTTGGTGTGTAATTTCTGCCCTGACACAGGTGGGCGCAGGTGATCTCTTATTTAGGTTCGCTATTTCAGTTCAGTCCTGCTACGGGGAGGGTGGGGCACTGCAGACAGATACCACTCTGTGTGGATACCACTCACTGTGTTCCGGCCATACTGGGTTTGCCCCGCTCACGGGTGTCAGTGCTTTCCCCGTCTACACTGCTCAGGCTCCCGGCTGCTCTATATGGAGCGGGCCCTGCGTTGAGTGCGGTTCCAGTTTTCGGGTACTCCACAAAAGCGCGGATTCGGTTGCGCCTGCGTTTTGTGCCTTCCCCGGCCTGAGCGGTTCAGGCAGCCAGAGGCTTGGGCGTACTCTCCCCGGGTGCAGCGCGCCTTTTCCCTCCGCGTCGAGCGGCCCAGGCAGCCAGAGGCTTGGGCGCACTCTCCCCGGATGCGGCGCGCCTTTTCCCCCTGCGGCGGGCAGCTCAGGCAGCCAGAGGCTTGGGCACAATCTCCCCGGGTACGGCGCGCTTTTTCCCTCCGCGCCCCCAGCGCGCACCGCCAGTCGGGTCTCAGGAAGTCTTTAGATAGGAACCGGGGGCCTGTTTGCAGTGTGGGAAGGGTTGGCTTCTCAGGGGCTGAGTTTGCCCTTTTCCCCTCCCCCCTGCCTCCTACCTCCAGCGGGCATGGGCCGGCTCTTCTCTGGAGTTTCTCAGTCCCTTTGTTTTGCGAACCGCCGGCAGTGTGTTCGGGCTGGTTAATTTTGTCCCTTGCTATCCCACAGTTTAAAAAAGCTCCCTCCGATTGCTCTCAGGGTCTTCAGGCCGGTCCTTACCCTAAGCAATGCCGCCCGCTCCTCTCCGTTCCACCCCCGCTTGTTGCTGGCGGGTACGGGCGTCTGGGGTACTTTTCTGCTGGGAGTTGCTTTTAGGCTCGTAATCTGTGGGCCTTGTTTAATTTTTCCTCCCAGTTAGATTGCCGAAAACTTCCCCCAGTCCCGCCAGTGCGAGGGTTTCCTGGTGATTGGAAACTTCCTCTATTAAGACTCCCTTCCCGGGACGGGTCTCCGTCCATAGCTCTTTTGACTCCCTTTTTATCTTTTATATTATGTCCTACCTCCCTTCGAAGACAATGGGCTTCTTTTCTGGGTGCCTGACGTCCTCTGCTAGCGATCAGAAGTTGTTTTGTGAAATTTGCTCAGCGTTCAAATGTTCTTTCGATGAATTTGTAGAGGAGAAAGTGGTCTCCCCGTCCTATTCCTCCGCCATCTTGTAGGTCGATCAGAATTGATGCTTTTGAACTGTGGTGTTGGAGAAGACCCTTGAGAATCCCTTGGACTGCAAGGAGTTCCAACCCATCCATCCTAAAGGAAATCAGTCCTGAATATTCATTGGAAGGACTGATGCTGAGGCTAAAACTCCAATACTTTGGCCACCTGGTGTGAAGAGCCGACTTATTAGAAAAGTCCCTGATGCTGGGAATGATTGAAAGCAGGAGGAGAAGGGGACGACAGAGGATGAGATGATTGCATGGCATCACTGACTCCATGGACATGAGTTTGAACAAGCTCTGGGAGTTGGTGATGGGCTGGGAAGCCTGGCATGCTGCAGTGCATGGGGTCACAAAGAGTTGGACACGACTGAGGGACTGAATTCACCTGAGGTCATGAGAGAAGGAACATGCTGGGCGTCATACACAGAGCCACGTATCTGAACTCAGACTCTCCCTGGTGCTCACAGCTCACAGCAACCAGCCAGTTTATCACAATACTCTTTGATGGATCTTTACCGACATGGCAATCACCACTACATTGATGCGGATACTTCAGAGAATCCTCTCAAGGAATGATGAATGATCATTTTCATGCTCCAATTTATTCTACTGCATTGGCTGTTGAGTTCCATTTCAGAATGACTTCCAGTATTTGACACGTAATAATTAAAGGCTTATGACAGGTTGAAACTCTAGAGTTTGGATATGAATCCCTGATCTCCTATTTCTGCCTGCTCACCTGCTTTTTTTTTTTTTCTTTTCTCAATGAGACTATATTCTTAGAAGCATGTAGACTTTAAAGCCCTTTATGTTCTGAATGGTTAGGACCCCACAAAATTCATATCTTGAAGTCCTAAAGCCCAAACTAATGATAGCAAGTGATAGACATTTTGGGATATGCTTAGAGTGTCATGATGGAGAACTCACAAAAGGAAATAATGCCCTTATCAAAGAGGTGGATATAAACTAGTCCCTCTCCTGCCCAGTCATGATACACTGACTCTGCAGTGTGAGACCTGAAGCAGGCTCTCACCAGAACTGGACCAAGCTGACATCCAGTTCCCAGATATCCAGACTCGAGAACTAACTTGCAACAATACATTTCTGGTCGTTGTAAACTACACAGTCTATGCTATTTTGTTGAAGAAGCCTGAACAATAAGATATATCATGCCCTGTTTTATCCTAAGAATACCTGCAGGAGTCTGTAAAATACCTGAAAGGAGAAACCAACTTCCTCAACTCCGTTTCCTAGACATGTCATCTGGGCCATAACATTTCATGAGCTCAATCAATATTCATGTAACATCAATTCACAAGGATTTAATGATAGGGGAAAAATAATACCAAAATCTCTTAATAGATATGATGTGATAACACAATAATTTAAATATTCTTCATGGTTCTACAAGGGAGGATATGATGAAATAATGTGTGAGATGATTTTTAAAGATCATTTGCAGAAATATTTTCTTCAAGTTTGCATTTTCAATATTTGGAAGGTGTGGTGAGTGGAAGGCCCACTGTCCACTTTTAGTTCAGTGATTCTCAAGTACTTGCAAGGAGCTACCTGATCATTCTTTCGTTGTTTCCCTCAGGTAATAAGGAAGCACTTTGTCTACACATGTAGATGTTTTTCTCATTAGCCTGTGCCTTTGGGAGTCAACCTGAATGCTTCTTTCAAATAATCTATGATGCTCTGAACTCTGAGTGACATCTCTGTCATATTCCCCAAGCCGAAACTGTGACATAAGAGTTTGTCAGAGAGTGTGCAAGCAAGAACAATGGATTTCCCCTTGCACATCCATGCACAGCCCATTAGGACAAATAGTGCAAAAATGAAGAAATGGTCTTGTGCACTGAACTTGTCCTCTCTCTTAATCATCGAGTTATTTTCCAGCTTCCTTGCCATGAGACTCTCATGAGGATAAGTCCAGGCCAAGTAATGTGAGAAGAAGTGCTATTACCCCATCCAGTCCTGGTCCCTGGAAGCATCCCATGTGATCCACCAGACTTTTCTCTTTTCCTCAAGGAGAATAGACTCAAGTACTACAGGCAAATTTGGAGTCTCAGGTTGATGATGGAAAAAAAAATCTCAAAACAATGGCACCAATGTTCTCAACTCCCTCTTTGGAGGAGAGCAAGCTAGAAGATTCACCTGATCAAGAACGCCTGCATTATGCTCTTCAAGAAGGAAAGAAAAGTGTCCACTAGAATCAAATTCCTGACACTTTGCTGTTTACCTGTTAAAGAAGCTAAGCATTAGGTGAACTGACAAATACCTTTAACAACATACTCTCTTAAAAACTTTTCCATAAAAAACTGAATTTCATATGTTGAAAATAGCAAATACCCTCAAAACACATTTAAAATCTTCTAAATTTTGTTATAAAATTATTTATTTCAGAAGAGATTGTGTTTTTCCATCTAAATATTTTTGTAAAATTGTGATTTTCATTTCAGACATTTTTCAGCTTGTAAGCAAACAGATGATCACTTTGGAGGCTTAAGCAAACAACAGTCTGATTGAGTGGAGAGTTGTCACAAGTATAATTTTCACTTTATCTGTTGACTTTCCTTGAAGATTCTTACATGAGGGAAAGGCACTTTTCAATTTCCACTCTGACAACCTCCCAGGCACAGGGGCTGTATTCCTTTTCCTTCAGGTAGAGATGGATTCCTTGGAAATACTTCCGGACAGCAATTCCCAAATCGGGACAATCCAGAGTCACTTCTTCCAGCCATTCCAAGCTCTGATCCAGGCTGGAGTGGTTTTTGAGGAGGGCGCTGTTCCAAGCAGCTCAGCTGCTCTCCATGGTGAAGAGGCTGAAGATCTGCTGGAGCATCAGTTGGTGATAACAGGTGCCTTGAGTCATCTGGATTGGGGTGATATTCTCTCTTCTCCAAGGAAACTTGAAGTAGTGTCTGTGCTCTAGGCATGACTGAGAGGGGATCGTTTTCATCTGTATCAAATGTATGAAGAATTTGTTGTCAAGGGGACAAGCAGGGATGGAGCAGAACATGACTCCTGCAACTAGCAAATAGATCTTGGCCACAGAGTGTTTCCCTGATTTACTGGAAGGCCAACAGGGGGCGCGCGGCACCACTAATCAAAGAGCGAAAGGTTTCTTCTCCAGGTTCTGGCACAGGGCGCTTCCCTGGGCTTTCACAGGAGCGCGGAGGGTGTCTTCTTACAGGTTTTATAGCGAGATTCCGAGTTCTGAGACTTCGTTTCAGCGGGTTTGGCAGCCTTTTCAGCAGGAAAGGCGTCGCTGTCAGAGACCAGGTTAGTACTCCTTGAGTAGTCCACTAAGAAATCTTCAATCCGAGCCCTCGCCAGAGACGTTTTGTGTGGTGGCAAGCCGGGAACCTTGTGTTTTCTGCTTTCCGCTTAGTGTCGTGCTTTCTTTTCGCACAGAAACTTGAGAGAGGCCACTTTTACAAAGAAAACGCGTTTAGGGAGGCGTTTGAAGCGGAGAATCAGAGCGACTTGGGGCCGATTTTACAGATTCGGGCTCCTTTCTGGCGCGATGAAGGGACCGCTCACAGTAAGGGCAACTTGGCGGCGGCGATGGGATGACCTGACTGCGTTGGGGACGCCCTGTGGGTGAGTCGGGGCGCGGTCCCCACCCGAGGACGGGGGACTTTCAGGGTGTCGTTCAAGGAATTGGCCCTGAAGTGGGGGAATAAGTATTGAACAACTGAAAAGTAGGAATATTCAAAAACTCATAGCACTGTATTTTTATGCGTTTAAGTTTCTATTTAATTATATTTGTCTCATTAAATATTTCACATTTTTTATTTTTGAAATATTTTATGAAAACATTAAAAATATTATATATGATATTAAAATATGTGAGTATTGAAATATTTATACATTTTATGAAAATATTTAATTGTTAGGTAATATATTAAAATATGAGTATTAAAATGATATTAATATTTATTAGTATTTTATTAAATTCTTTTTAAGCTATGGTTTATCCTGAAACAAGAATTTAATATGATTTTACTTTATTGGCTTTAATGGAAGCCAACTCATTAATATATTCAAGATCACTTCTTTGTTTGACAATTTCTTGTGACTCTGTGACAGTCTTAAATAATTATTATTTAAGTCGAGTTTCTGAAACACCGCTGCCAGCACTCCACCTTGAGTGTAGTGTAGCAAAAGGAATTAGTGCAGATGTCCCTGGTCCAATGATTAAGACTGTGCTTTCAATGCAGGAGGTGCGAATCTGATGTCTGGCTGGGAACTAACATCCCACATGCAGTGCTGTGCAGTCAAAAAGAAAGGAAGATGGATGGAAGAGAGAGAGAGAGAGAGAGGAACCAAAGGAAGAAGAGGCAGTGTCCTGTGCAAAGCGTTGAGGGCATTTACCAGGTCTGATCTTTTCATTTTCTTTGGGAAGAATTTTGTAAGTGAAATGAAAATTGCCCAGATTTCATTGGCAATGTGAAGCCTTTTTTCGTAAGACACATATGGTCTTGCAAATGAAAGGGCATTTCTTGTCTTGAAAATTTTGATGTTTTGTTTAGTACATATATTTTGGTATTTTCATTTTTTTAATATTGAGTTACAATGTTATTTATCTTGATGTCTTAGACTTCGTGCCTTTCAACATTTCATATTCAAGAGAAGTCCTTTCTTACTTTGCCCCAATACTAACCCAAGAAATAGCTTCAGAGCTACTGTTGCCAGCTTCCCTGGTGGCAGGGAAAGTATATGAATGTCCCATTTCTTGTCCTCCTCCCCTCTGTCACATTTTATAACCGATTTCCTGGTCTCTTTAACCATTAAAAAAAAAATCTCTGTCTTAAAATAATGTCACCAGAGATGGTCTAAGACTAACTGAGAATGATGTTAGGGAATGTTTACCTCATTTGTACTCTTCACAGAGCAGTTATTATTTGGTAAGACAATTTTTCAAGATGCTGGCCCCAAGCAAAAGTATTCAAGTGCTGTAAGATTTGTTTTCAAAATATTCCAGGACTGCTGTAAGCATGGAATCTTGGGATCTGCTCCTTCACAGTCTTTTGGGCAGTCCCCACTCCTAGACTTTGGTTTTGGTGGGTCTCAAAACACAGCATTTTAGCCAATTTCCTTCTCTCCACATCATTTTTTTTTTTAAGTCATTTTTTTTCTTTTAGAAAAAACATTTCGTTTAACTAACTACAAATTTGGTTTCTTTTTCTCTCAGTATGATTTTGAAGTATAACACAATCTGTATCTCAAAAAGTAGTATCAGAGGTGGTCTAAAACTTACTGAGGTTGAAGAAAGGGACTGCTTATTTTGTCTCATTTATTAACAGAGCAGTTGTGTTTTGTTAGACAACTGCCCAGAACCCGTTTCTCTGCAAAGAACTTGAAGTGCTGTGGGATTTCTCTCCATACTGTACCAGGCACCGATCAAAGGAAGGACACTTGGGCTCCGGGCCCCTTCGGAGTCCTGCAGGCAGCCCCTCTCCTGGAACTGACACTTAGGGATGCAACATGCAGACCCCTGACAGTGTGAAGAGCCCTGCAGGCAGAGCTTCTCTTGGCTGGACTGAGGGTGGAGTCCAGAGGTTCCTATTGGTTCTGTTGATATGAAACACTGCTATCATTCACTATGTTTCACATTCTCAGCCTAATTTGCAAACTTTGTATTATTTGAAGTGAAGGATGTCCTCTGTGGCTGCTACTAAAGTGGTCTTGCTGTTTTAGAAGACGAAATGAACGTCTGGTGTGGCTACCCTCAGGAGCCCCAGATAGTGTGAGAGTAGACCTTCCTGCCGCCCCCAGTCCCTCCCCTTCATCAGCTCTGAGACCCGGCGCTCAGCTGCTCTGAGCTCCTGCTGCCTCCTTCCTCCTCATCCTGCCTCAGTGTCCTCTTCCCTGCTCCCAGGAGGGCAGTCACCATTCGTGCCTGACTCTTCTAGAATGCACATCTCCAAGCACATTGTCACCTATGTGTGTGGGGTCATCACACTTTGGTGACGGAATAAAGAAACTGTATGAATTAACCCATGTTCCGTATTATGTCACTGTTATCTGTACCGTCAGAAAACAAGAACTATGGTAATGAAAATCATTGTGGAAAAATTCAAACCTTGTGTATTAGACCTTAAATGGAAATGCAGAGAGTTGTGGTTAGATTTATTTTGGTGCAATTTAAACTGTCACAATAGACTATGTAGTCACACCTTTGAGTTCTCTTTTAGACTAAAGAAGTGAGTTAGATTGAGCTTCAGGTTTTTATTTCAAGCTGAGATGACTCGTATAGATGAATAGCTCCTTTTGGATTAAGCCTTTTCCATGAGTATATTTCATTTCCATTGTAAAAACACAAAAGAAGCATCAAAGGTGTGACATTCTCTGATGGCCAGGATGGAAGGAAAAAGTTTCTCCATGAAAACAAAATAGAGAAAAGTGCAGAAAATGGCAATTCTGGCCTATTTAAAGATCTTATATGCGGGAAGTTGCTGGGAACAGCTGGATAAAGACTGGCACAGCCCAACATCTGCAGGATCACCAAGCTCACCAGATGCCAACCCCTTCCCTGATGACATGGAGGGTGATGTTCTCCAGCCCTGGAGAATGGTGATGATCACCGTTGCCACCCTCTGTGAGACCAGGAATCGCCAAACTCAACGCTTCAGTGTAACTGAGTCCCAGGGCTCCAACTCTACAAGGAGCTCAAAGCTGCCTTCCCTCTGCCTCTGTGGCTGCGATGGGCACTGCAGATCTCCCTGTAACAGACCAACTGGCCCTGCCCGCCCAGCGGGCACCAACTGCGGGTCAAGCGACTTGAGCTCGAGTGCGATACCCACAAAGGAGAACAGGGGAGTCCCAGTGGGCAGGAGCCCCAGGCCTGGGCAAGGGGCTGCTGGGGCTCCGGGAGGACATGGAACCACGGGAGCAGTGAGGAAACTCCCTTTTCCAGCCAACATCCCAGGGCAGCTTTGCAGCCATTTTGCTTGGAGCCTGTGATTTCTGCACCTGCCTCTGCGTCCTTCCTCCTCTTCCTGGGAGGAGATTTTAGCCAGGGCGCTTTACCCCAGTGCCCATTTATGCAGTGATTCACAGCTGGAGATCAGAGTATGTTGGGGTGTGTTTTCAGATTCAGGGTTGTTTCTGGGGAAAGGACTGATTCAGGGAAAGGGGATAAGGCACTCAGAGTCTGGACTGGCATCTTTAGATATTGGGACCCTCTTGTGGGAAGGACTTGAGGACAAGACTGAGACTTTCGGGAAAGGGAAAATGATTTCATTTAATATAAATGGCTAATTTCTCCTTCAATGTTCAACTCGTTGAAAAATATTTTAAAATGTATAAATAAGTCTGAAACTCACACCAAGTTTAAATATTTTCCTTATGCCAAAACAAGATCAAATGCAAATGTTTGCAAAATGGCTTCATTGTTCATCTCAGTTCAACTGAGCAAAACCTGTAGTTGACAAACTTATGACCCGGTAAGCACCTAAAATAATTAATCTCAATTTTCAAACTCTTTCTTTCTTTCTTCTCTTTTAGCCTAGGATCTTATGTTAACCTTTCAAATTTATACATGGTCTTGCATTGGAGAGTTTTATGAACTTTTAAAAATGTCATTTCATACAGATAAGCTGCTGTAAAATTCATAATCAAGATGTTTTTGTGTTCAGCATAATGTAGGTTTCCACTTAATATACCATTTGCTACTTAATAGGCAACTTATATACTAAATGCACTGATTTTATGCTGACTTGATGCCCAGTAAATTTCTCGGCG